ATCGTTGCTGAGAAGACCCAAGGACTGGCAAGAGAGCACGACGATCCCGATTTGGAAGAAGAAGGGCAGCCCTGCGGACTGCTCGAACTACCGTCCAATTCGCCTGCTGTCACACAGTATGAAGATCTTTGAGCGAATTGTCGACGGTCGTATACGCGAAATCGTCCAGCTTTCAATCAATCAGTGCGGCTTTGTGGCAGGCTGTAGCACCATCGACGCTATACATGCCGCGCGTCTTCTGCTGGAGAGACATCGTGAGAAACAAAAGCCACTGCATCTAGCTTTTCTGGACCTGGAAAAGGCATTCGATCGTGTGCCGCGTGAAGTGAGTTGGACTTATTAAGTGGGTGCGCATCCTGTACTCCAGCTCAAAGAGCCGCGTGCAAGCAACAACAGGCACTTCGCAGGAATTTCCCATCACGGTCGGGGTACATCAAGGCTCTGCGCTCTCCCCACTCCTTTTCGTGGTCGTCTTGGATGCAATCTCGCGAGATCTCCAGAAACCGAGTCCTTGGACGCTTCTCTACGCAGATGATGTGGTGCTGGCCAGTGAAGATAAGAGCGAACTCGAGCAGCAGGTGCAAGCTTGGTCTGATCGCCTGGCAAAGTTCGGACTCAGGCTGAACATCAAAAACCGAGTACTTGACGACCGACACAAATGAGTCCGATTCCATTAAGATCAGTGGCATCGAGCTCACACGCACAAGAGCCTTCAAGTATCTTGGATCAGAAATTGCCTTTGATGGCAGTCTGACCTCAGAGGTAAACTCTCGTGTGAGTGCAGCATGGGCGAAATGGCGCTCGATGACTGGAGTTCTCTGTGACAAGACCATACCTGAGCGCCTCAAATCGAAGATCTATAGAACCGTGGTCAGACCAGTAGCGTTGTACGGGACTGAGTGCTGGACCTGCAAGTCGAAGCCCGCCTTAGTGTGATGGAGATGAAAATGCTACGTTGGACGGCCGGTGTCACGCGTATGGATCGGAATTCTGCAACGATGACATACGCAAGAAGCTCGGCGTAGCTTCCATAGCTGATAAAATGCGAGAATCTCGTCTTCGATGGTATGGCCACGTACTCCGCGCGAATACGGACAGCGTCTGCAAGACTGGTCTCCAGCTCGAGGTGCTCGGCAAACGACCTAAAGGACGCCCTAGGCAACGTTGGCTTGACACGCTGCACGCGGATCTAAAGATAGTTGGTGCCCACCCTGATCAAGCATTCGACCGGGAAAAATGGCGTACCAAAATCAGAAAAGCGGACCCCGCCACAGGGTGGGACAAAAGGATAAGAAGAATGAAT